AATAGTGGCTCAAAGCTGCTCTGAGCAGAAATTCAAGCTAGCACCTCCACTTCACCAAGTGTCCTGCTAGGCAAGAGTATCAAGGACAGCTGATAGAAAAGAATTAGCAATGCATCTTCACCCAGAGTGATCCTAGCTGGGGAAAAAAAAAAAAAATAAATGTAGTAAGTGCATCAGTTCAAAGCCCAAGACAACTGCAAGGGATGCAGATGAAGCTAGAATTCCTTCTCATGGTGCTAATCCAAAGCTTTTGGATTGAACCATCTTGTTTTATTAACTTCCTGTATTCCCACAGAATTGTATTTATGTGTATGTGTGTATATATGTGTATACGTATGTGTATGTGTATATGTATATGTATAGGTACAAACTGTCTTCTAATTCTGCTGAAATACATCCAGGACTCAAAAGTTATATTGTTCTACTACCCTTCAATTTTGTTCTGGCTCTGCTCAAGCTGCCCACCTCTTTCCAGGAGTTCTTATCCAGGGCAGGGCTGTTCAGAGGACAGGCAGCCTTAGCCCACAGTGGCAGCTCTTAGCCCTGATGGCACTCTTTCTCTTTATTTTTCCCTCTGTGTCAGCAGCTCTCACAGAAGATGACACACTCACTCCCACAAGAACTGTTAAGGTAGCAACCAAGGCTAGAGTGGGCCATCCTTGCCCAGCTATATACACACTTAAGGGCAGCTCCCACCCATTTTGGCAGTTCACCTGTCTTCCTTCTGCAGTGGGATCCTTGGCTGAATATTGAACAACACTGAATATTGTTATTATCTGACATAGTTGCAGCTTCCTGAATTGAACAAGTGGCTTACTGCCCCAGTGATAAACTTTTCAACATAAATAGTATAAGTAAGCCATGTCTTACCACAATTTGAATGCCAACTTTTTTCCTAAAGGGTACAGCTACATTTCAGAACTATTTTCTCCCTCTTTCTGCAGTCTCTACCCTCCTGATTTGAAACAAATACACTCAGTGCTGTGCAAACCTCTGGAAACGTTTTGGAAAAGCAAGTCTGAAACCAGCAAAACCATCACCCTTCTCCCTGATTTTAAAGCAGTTAACACAACATTTCAGACGTGAATTTCAAAGGCAGGGAAGCAGAAAGGAAGGCATCTCCCACCGTGGCCTCTCAGTTGCCACGTGCACGCTAGAGGATGTTCCCAGCTCCCAGCCCGCTGTCGGCCAGAGCTCCAGCAGTAAAACGATCCAGATACTGTACTCTTGACTCCAGGAAGATATGAGCAGCCAGTGAGAACAGCGCAAGCGCTGTGCAGCACGACCTTTCCCTTAGTGAACGTGGGCGGCAGGGGCAGCCAGCAGCTTGTTTGTGTGCTGCTGCACCAACTTTCACCTACTTCTGCTATTTTGATCGCGTCGGGAGCCCTCGGCAGCTCCTGTGGCTGCAGCAGTGGGTGATAGAAAGATGAGAACAGGAAGATATGAGCCTTGCTTGTAAGGCTATTTCTGTCCTTCTTTTTTTTTTTTTTTTTTTTTTTCCACTCGAAGGAACACGTAAATATTTAGAAAACAAATGTGTTCCTGGATTAAAGTATCAAAGCAGTCGCGTAAATGCAGACCCGCACACAGGGTGAGTGCTTTGCCTGTGGCGCTGCTGGAAGGTTCATGGTGCATGGCAAGTACAGCTCATGCCCTTCAGTCAGCAGATGTTCCTTCCACTGACGTTCCAAACTTCCTGGTGGCACTATTCATTTCCAGCCCAACGCACTGCTCATTCTAGGTCATTGTTTGTCCTTACTTAGAAATGTTGAATCAGAAGTTGGCTTTGTCCCTAGTAGATGTGTGGGGAGGTTAGTCCGGTTTCCTAAGGGAAAGAACTTCAGCATTTCCTGCTCACCTATTTGCCAAGCAATCCTAACTAACTACTGGCCCATTTCAGCCTAATTTGAATAGATAATTTCTCACAAACTTTGTGCAAACTGGCAGATGGTTTAGGGAGGAGAGATTGAAGTTTGGTCCACACTGAGGGAAGAGCAGGTGAAATTCAGCCAAGATTCATTCTGCTAGAGTGCAGCAACCCTGCCAGCTGCCATCACCCATGTTCTGGCTAGTCAGGAGAGAGGTCTCACCCCAGTGCAGTGCATTATATCTCTAGAGCTCATTGGCAGGTGGGTTTGGAAGGGCAGCCTTACATTTGTGTTCCCACAGAGGAACAGGTAGGGCTAAATCAGTCAAGACGCTTTCTATTAGATCTCAGCAACACAAGCTCCTGTCACGTATTCTGGCTAGCTGGGAGAGCTGCTCTGACCTAAATAAAGCACACTGTGTCTTTGGCACCCACGATGGCATTAGTAACATCGAGGAGAGAGATAGCTAACTGTGATGGATGACATTTAGGGGACAAATGGACAGGAAGCCAGGCTCCCATCATTTGACTGTTATGGATGTCACTGTTGTGCAAAATAATAATAACAAAATGTTAACACAGCTCCATTTTCTTAAAGATAGCCAGCAAAACATTACTGTGATTGAGCAACTGAGAGCATTATCATTACCTTTTCATAACATCTCAGGGTAGTTCAGAAGAGGAAAATTAAGATACCAAAATGATAGAAATAAGATTGTATCAGATAAATGCTGCAGTTCAGATCCTGACAGTGTTCTTCACTATCAAAACCATTTTCTCTAACATCAGCATTTTGTTGTATGCGCTGGGGCTTCAAGAGGAGGGGGAAGTGGCATTACAGTAGTTAGGACAGCTTGGGAAGTTACTTCAAGTGGTTTAATTTTCACAGCCTGGTATTCACATGCAGTTTGGCTGATAATGAATCCTGATTTAGTGCAACCTTTTCACATAAAAGTTAGCTTTCTTGGACAGCATTCAGGATATCCTTAACAACTGTGTCCCAAATACTTCACTTCTGTTTACACAAATGGAAAATCATATTGCTCAGAATGCACTTTGTTGCACCATCTCTCATATGAAGAGCAAGAAGCAAATCTGTGTTATAAAGGAGACACATTTCTTCCAGAGTAATAGAGCTCAGTTAGTGGAAGGGCTGCAAGTATACAAAATTCTTGTAGAAGTCTGTGTTGTTTTGAGAAACACCCAAGTTTTGAATGACTGGAGCCTTGCTGTCTCAACAGTTGGATAAGGCAATATTTCCTATATTTCCTGCATTTGACTAAAAGGAAAAGAGGGGGAAAAAAACATTCTGTAATGAAAAAAATGTAAACAACAGAAATTGTTTCCAGTAAACATTTTTCCATTCAGAATAGAGTCTGTAATAAGCCTACTTACAGAGGTAATTCAAGTTATTTATATTAGCCACAGTCAGCTCACCAGCAGATTAAAATAAAGTATCTCAGTAGAAACAGAAACAGCGACCTTATAAACTGGAGTAACGTCCGAGTGCAGAGAACTTTCTTGATTCAAATTCGATTGCAAGTTGTTAGCCTTGAAATTCTTGCTTCCCCTTCATTAGTAGCTCCAGGAAGAGCCTAAAAGAAAAGAAAAGCTGTCACATTCATATTCTGTAACTGAAACCACTTTGTAGGTTATTTTCACTTCCATGAGTCATCTGCAATGTGCAGGTAAATGAAGTTAAACAGACGAAAGCAAACCCCAACATCCCTTGCCAAATTTTCAACTTCTGGCAAACACCAGAAAAATCAAAAAGGTTATGTTTGTCATGATTAGATATCTTCATTTTGCTTCATTACACATTTTCATATGCCAACATTCTGTCACTGTGGTAAAAATCTGATCCATCTGATGGAAAAATAATGGAGTAATTACTCCATGGGGAGCAATAAAATAATAAAAGAACAGGTAGAAGAGAAAGCAGGGATAATAGACATAATGACTAGGAAGACAAAAATGAGATAAAGCTTCAAAAAATTATAAGCTAAGTGTTTTCTTCTGCATGTTAAAGTATATGGAGTTCTTTTTAGGAAATTATCTTCCTTCCCATGAATAAGTATTTATATTTGTGTATGTAGATGTATATAAAAGTGTATATAAACATTTGTATATAAAAATTGGACTAAGTTATATTTAAGCATTAAAAACAGATTCTTGTATCATTGTTTTATTGTTACATGCTAAGATTTGGGGTGTGAGGAACTCCTCTGCTGAAGGTTACATTATTAAAATTGCCTATAATGTTGTAGCCTTAACTTAGGAAAATGCCAACAGGTTGAAGATCAAAGTTCTCCCTCCATTGAAGAGATGTGCAGGCTTTTCCCAGCCCATCTCTAACCCTGGAAGATTGGCTAACAGTAAGAGAGCAGTTTGGTCCACCAATTACCAGGTCAGTTCTAGAAAAAGTAAGGGTTATGTGGAGCTTTGGGACCAGCGCGTCACCAAAGCAGCTGTCTGCAGAGATTTGGCCACTATTAATCCCGGTCACAACACTGACCTACACGTCAAACACTGAATCATGGGGTTAAGATCGAGTTTTGCTCCCTTTGCGCTTCAGTGCACCGATCCCACACTTTTAATAATTCCATGGTAGCATTCCCTAGGCTGACCGCAAGGCAGAGCCTGCAAATGTTACCGTATTTTCCTTTTCGGCTAACGGTGCTTAGCACCGGCGTGCTTCAGGGTTGGCAGTGCAGCTGGAGCTGATAACGAGGGCCGCGTTCAGCCCGACGGCGCACATCCAGGCAGGGCACAGGCAGGGGACGCTGGGCAGGCCCTTGAGCTTCGCAGCCCCTCAGCGGCCACGGCGGCGCGACGGGCTGCCCCGAGCGGGCAACGGGCAGCGCGGAGCTCTCGGGTCTCAGCGAGGCTGCACGGGGCTGACATTGCCCTGTCACCAAGGTCAGCGGGCACGGCGCGGCGCCAGGGCGCGGGGCAGCCGGTGGCACTGTCACTTCCCCACGAGGCTGGCGACGTGCCACCGCGAACGGGACGGGGCGTGCAACGGGAGCGAGGGGGGCCGTCACGAGCCTCAGGGAGAGGAACGTTCCGTCGGCGGGGCGGGGCCGTGCCTGCGGAGCACCGCCCCCCGCGGGTGTAAATACAGGCGGCACGTGAAGGTGCTGCCACAGGCGGAGGGGCGGCGAGAACCTTGCTGGCACCCGGCGCCTCGCCGACTGACCGACCGAGCATCTCCCGACCGCCGCCTCTACAGCCATGAAAGCCGCCCGCATCGCCCTGCGTACCGCTGTCCCCCTGACCGGGGCCGGCGGCGTCCGCAGCAGCCGCTTGCCGCGGGAGGTGGAGCAGTTCTCCCGCTTCTCCCCCTCCCCGCTCTCCATCAAGCAGCTGCTGGACTTCGGTGAGAGCACCGGGGCCGGCTGTCAGCCAGGGGCTGGGGCTGTGGGCGGCGTGGGAGAAGCGGGGCGAGCTGAGGGTGACTCCGGGTTGTCCCCCCTCGGCTGTGCTGGCCATGCGGAGGGGAGGTGGGCGGCGCTGCGACTGTGTTTGGGGGTGCTAATGGGGTGTGGGAGGCAGTAGGTAATGGGCCGATGGATGTTTTTGCGTTCCGTGGCGCACGTTATTAAGGAGGAGTCATTAGGTTTGTTCTGAGGGAGCGAACAGGCTGTACCCAGATCCGATTACGGAGCTGGCAGCGGTGAGCTGTGCTGCTCACGTGGCACGGTCGGACCGACGTGTTTACGAAGGCTGGAGAGCTGCTTCGGGAGGATTACAGCGTCACCACTATTTCCCTCCGTCAAAATAGGAGATGCACAAGTATGGAACGGGCTATGCCTCATTGTCACATAAACACAGCACATGCATATGCACGTAGGAGAACTGGCCACTGATCGCATGCTCCTTTGCAGTCAGTGTAGTTCTGAAGTCTGGGGAAAGGTGGCAATTTGTACTTGTATACTGGGGAAAAATAGTTTCAACATGCAGTTCTTGGATTTGCTTTATAGGCTCGACTAATGGATGTGAAAGGACTTCCTTTGCATTCTTGCGACAAGAGCTCCCCGTGAGGTTTGCGAACATACTGAGAGAAATAGAGCTCCTTCCTGATAAATTGCTAAGCACCCCATCAGTGCAGTTGGTGAAAAGCTGGTAAGTGGAAATGGCCTGGACTGAGCCTGCAAAATAACATGGCTTCAACAGCTTAGTTGTTGTCGGTGTGTTTGAGTAATGGAAGGCAGTAACAAAATACACAGGGAATGCAGTTTGTTCATCAAAGCTGAATTGCAAGCTGTTTTACCTTGTCCTCGACTAGCATGCAGAAGTTAAACTTTAAAAAAAAAAAAAAAAAGAAAAGGCATCTCTTCAGCTAACAATTTGATGTAGCAAGGAAAACTTGCTTGTACTTCTTAACAAGCAAGAAGAGAGAGTTTGCATGCCATGTGAAAACAGAGCAGAGCTATATGGAACTGTAAGATCAGGCTGTTTTCTTGTTTGGGTCTCTCATTGGTGGGACTGCTAACAAGACTTCCATTCTGTAACAAATTGCCTTGACCTGTGAGGTGTTTATCATTCAGTTAACATCCACACTGCAGTGGGCAGTGATTGGATCAGAATTAACCTTGTTCTACTGGCACAATTGCAGCACGTGCGTACAGAGCAAAAGTATTAGAGTAAGATCCAGAAACTGTTCTTAATCTAATAAACTACAGTTGTGCCTTTGCAATATGCGTCAAGGCTGTCAGATGCCATTAGCAAAGAGGATCAAGTACTTAACTTGTGTCAAAGGTGATCAGACCTGGAAAAATTTTTGCTCAGGTACTTTCCTAATGATGATCTTGTTTTTTAACTGCCTGTTTTACCATCTTGAATTATAAGAGAAGTCAATGTTATTATGGTGATGTTTTAAATTTCTTTCTGGGTGGCAAGCACAAGAAGGCTTGCATGACTTCTAGGATTCAGGCAGAAGTGACTGTCTGTGTTCCTGTACTTAGGTGGAGCTTTGTTTTGAAGATCCTTTGGATTTCTAACTTGTTAAGAGTTATGACTTGAACAAGACACTGATAATCTTTTTTGTACTAATAAAAATCAACTGATAGCATGTTTCTTCTGTGTTTTCAATAGGTACATCCAAAGTCTAATGGAGCTGGTTGAGTTCCATCAGAAAAGCCCAGATGACCAAAAAGTCTTATCTGAGTAAGCTTTCAGTTTATTTTATTGACCTTCTGAATATACATTCGATTTCTCACAATGTAGTCACTTCAGAATGACCATTGTCCTGAGCTGAAGTTGATAATCTAGTATAAAGTGCTGAGTACAGAGCAAATAGGTAGAAGTATCTGATTAAGTTAAGGTCTTTTATGAGAAGTATTGCTTATGTAGCTTTGTTTCTAGGGCATACTGCCCCTCAAACTATCACAACAAAAAAGATCAACGAAAATTATCTCATGTCAAATCCCAGCTTCTTTCTAAGATGTCAGCTAGGGGTTTCTTAACCCTTCATGCAAACTGCATTCCCCTCTATGCAAACTGTTATGAATGAGTAAAAATGCCACAAATTTGAAGTGGATAATGATTATGCAGATTATATTAAAATATCAAACTCAGAATTCTAAGTCAGTGAGGAGTTAATTTTAAAAAGAATAAGAAACTATATTGAGACTCTTTCAGTTATCTGTGCTGCTGGAGTGGGTAATAACTTTATACTTGCTTTCATGTAGTCTTAGAGTGATGTTCTAATAAAACTTTTTTAAAAAACTTATTTTATCTAGATTTATAGATACATTAATTAGAGTTCGAAACAGACATCACGATGTAGTCCCTACAATGGCACAAGGAGTAATTGAATACAAAGATATGTTTAAAGTAGACCCTGTCACCAATCAAAACATTCAGTACTTTTTGGATCGTTTTTACATGAGCCGCATTTCCACCCGGATGCTTATGAACCAACACAGTAAGTAGGAATTCTTAACTGTGGAAAGGCTTTATAAAATCATGGAACGGTTTGGACTGGGAGGGACCTTAAAGATCCTCTAGTTCCAACTTCTGCCTTCAACCAAATGAAAAACAACTGAATGTAAGCACAGCTCAGAGCTGTCAGAGGGAGATCTGTTTCAGATGACTTTGTGAGACACTGAAAAGTTACACTGACTGAAAGTAATGGGAGAACTTACAACTAGTCTGTAGTCTAGAAAGAAAAGTCTCATGTGGAAGATAAGGTTCTTCTACATTTTAAAAGCCTTTACATCTTGAACTGCACATAATCTACTGGCAGCAGACTTGCCTTTTTAAATCTAAAAAGGCATAACCAGTACTGATCTGATTATCTGCTGTGTTTATACTCTTAATATAAAATTATTTGTTTTGTAGCATAGCAAGTGTGATTAAGTACAGTATTTGTTTTCATCCAAAACAGCCCTTCTTTTTGATGATAAATCCAGATCAGGTCACCCGAGGCACATTGGAAGTATTGATCCTTGCTGTGATGTTGTTGAGGTAGTGAATGGTAAGTGTTCTGATGTCTTTAACATGATCAGCATTTGGTTGCAGATAGTTTAGGTCGGCAGTGTGTGTAGTGTAAGATGTTGAGTTTTTTGTTGAAATAGCTGAGAACAGTCTATCAAAACATGAGTTTGTGTAGGATATAATATATAAAGTAGCAGTTAAAAAAAAGTAGCAGGCCTAGCAATTGTCAGATATCATAGCATTGTAGGGGTTGGAAGGGACCTCCAGAGATTGAGTTCACCCCCCCTGCCAAAGCAGGCTCCCTACACCAGGTCACACAAGTAGGTGTCCAGGTGGGTCTTGAATATCTCCAGAGAAGGAGACTCCACAACCTCCCTGGGCAGCCTGTTCCAGTGAATGGAATCTCCCACCAGATATGGTAGGAGTGAAAATAATCTGTAGTGTTGGAATCAGCACTACCTAATAGTATATAATATCCCAGATGCATCTATTTTACAGAATCACCAAATTGTGCTGAAAACTTGCCTGAAATGCTCTGTTTAGTCTCACTTCCAGTGCACACAGTGGATGCAGCATTATCATGCCCTGTAAAGCAAAGATTTACAGTCTGTATCACCTTAGCAAGTGTTAGAAGTTGTATGTTGCCATGCATTAGAATCTTTTACAGTATGTAATGCTCCATTTCATATGCTTTATTTAAATAAATATTTCAGATGCTTTTCAAAGTTCCAAGATGCTATGTGACCAGTACTATTTAACATCTCCAGAACTGAAGCTTAATCAAGTAAATGGTAAGAAGAGGGCTTATGTCTTACTCTTTATTGTAGCCAAATCAGTGCCTTTAATGAATCAAAAGGCTCTCACTTCTATAGCGGTTCAAATCATTTGACTTGTCTTGTGGTATTCTGTACTTTGTTACAATCACCTCACTTAAGCTCTTGTGTCAGATATCACTGCATCTTAAACATGAGATTTCCTGCAGCTATATTTACAAATTTGAGTACAAGGCTAGTCTGTACTTAAAAATAAAATAAGTTGCTGAGAGGAACTCTGTATCTGGGATAGGAGAAGTCTGTCTACTGACTGACAAATGCAGGTTCTAGTCTAAGCTGCCAACATGTGGGATCTTGAGCAGGTGTCTTACCTCTAAAATCCTTCACGTGTGGAATGGAATTAATGATTACTAAGCTGGTGATAATTATTACCTAAACAAAATTGTTCAGTTGGGAGGGAACACCCAAAACTTAAATATTTTCTTGTTTGTTTTAGTGAATAACTTGCTTACTGTAAAATTTGGATGCAGTACCAAAGACAAACAGAACTGTCCCCCTCGTAAGTCTTACTTGTCTTTCTCTTCCTCTAGGAAAACTTCCAGGAGAGCCAATTAACATTGTCTATGTTCCATCTCATCTTTTTCACATGCTTTTTGAGCTCTTTAAGGTATGTCAGTATATGTTGCTTTCTTCAGTTTTCTGAGCAGGAGCTTCAATATTATTCTCTAGCTAGACTTGAATGTTGTAGAGTTTTTGCATGGAACAGTGGGATTTATAAAAACTTACTGTGTGGGGCAGTTGCTAGGAAAATATTTGGACACTTTCACATGGTGGTAGCAACTGGGACAGCATATGGTAGAGAGGGAGTAAGTGGTACATGGGGTTGTGACAACCATAGAGCAGTTTTGCTATGGGTTAAGTAATGCATCTTGAAGTAGTAAATAGGGCTGAACTAATGTTTTGCAAATTGGGATGCTGACTTCTGGAAGTCTATAGTGACTTCTGAACTCAGTTTTCTCCCCACAAGCCCACTGACTTCAAAGGGTGTGAGTTTATTTAACTTAGATTTGCCTGGCTAGATGTTGGCAAAAAACTAATCTTTCAAAAAAAGTAATCTTTCAAATTGTAGAGGTGTTTTTAGGTGTGAAAGCTTCTGCTCTCCTTATGTTATGCAAGTTGCAAAGTGTTTACCAAAGCTGGTAGTAATTGGTGGTAACTGAGCTTAGCTTCTGTGACATAGTAGAAATATTAAATGAAATTGATTTTAATGCATAGATTCAACACTGATAATGGCAAACTTCATTTCCATAGAATTCAATGAGAGCAACAGTTGAATTTCAAGAGAACAGTCCTTCCCTCTCTCCAGTTGAAGTAACAGTTGTTCTAGGACAAGAAGACCTGGCCATTAAGGTATCTCATAGACCATCTACTATATGGCCTTAACATAATCCTTATGATTGCATGTGCTGCAGCAAATTCCATTAGAACTTGCCACAAGTTCTATGACAACAGATGAAAGATGATATGTATGAGCTTTCTGTTGAAAGCATACATCTAGAGCAATTATCTAATTGAAAATATTACTGACAAGTAATATTCTGTGAAACAAATAGCATTTATTGTTGTTGGAAGGATTTGTTAAATACCAGTACTTTAAACACTGGGTTTAGTACATGATCCTAGTTAACTTTATTTTTTCTTTAAATCAGATCTCTGATAGAGGAGGTGGTGTTCCAGTAAGGAAAATTGAGCAGCTGTTTAGCTACATGTATTCCACAGCACCAAGACCAAGGATGGATGATGGTCGGCAAACTCCTCTTGTAAGATGATTTCAGTACTGAAGTTGCTATAAGTATTGGGCAGGTTAATAATAAATAATGAGTGTTATGTCTACCCTACTGCTTTGCAGAGTATGCAAAGATTGAGCCTCATAGATAAGAATTAACATTCTATGAAATAAATTTAATATCTAGCTCAATGGATGTGCCTTTAAAAGTATAAACATATTCCTAATCTGATTTTCTTCTACTCCAATGACAATAATTTACTTGATTGTCACTCCCACTCAGTCATCAGACTTACTAGAAGTTCTGCCTTTACAGAGGCAAGCATAATGGGATACATTTAGTTATCTACTAGTAAAAAACTTACACTAATCAAGCTGTACTAGTGAAAACTGGACAAGGAAAACACAGAAGTGTAATACATGAAAGTAAGACTTGAGTATATCTACGTTTTCCCTCCTTGATGGAGTTTTTTTTTTTTAAATACTCAATTTTTATATTAAACTGATTAGAAGTACTTTCTCTTATTAGGAGATACAAAGGACTTCTGAAGTCTAAGGTCTCTGAAAATTTTTTGGCTATTTATTTCTAAGTCATAAAAACTAACACAATTCATTTTGTACTGTACTTTTTAGGCTGGCTTTGGATATGGCTTGCCAATTTCCCGTCTATATGCCAAATACTTCCAAGGAGACTTAAATCTTTACTCCATATGTGGCTATGGAACAGATGCTATTATCTACTTGAAGGTATGTTTTGATTGTGTAAAACTAAATAAACATTGATAACCACTGTAATGTAGTGAAGTGACTACTTCAATATCATATTAAAGGTAAATGAATTCTCTGAATAGGAAAACTTTTTTTAGAGAAATGCCAGTATGTTTAAACAAGCTGTTGCTTTCTTTTTGTTGTTCAAGATACAGCTAAGTATCTTGAATAATTACTGATGAGAGCTTGAAATCAAATTCAGAGATTCTTCTGTTAGGTAGATTTGGTGTCACCTGGTTTATAGAATAGAAAGTACAGGGGTAAAATGAAGTAACGGAAATGAGATGTGAGTAGCAGATATTTTGCTTCCCTTACTGTTTGTTCTTCACTCTGACAAGAAAGTCTATGTAAACAAATTCAGAAAGAGTCTGAATAAGCCCTTAGCTGCAGAATATGTAGGAAAAGATCACATCTTGAAGTTTCTCTGTAATTCTGTGTATTTCTTTTCTGGTGCCTCCAAGGTTGTTTTGAAAACAGGTTACAGAATAATTTTACAGCTATACAAATGCATGAACATGATCTGATGTTACGCATTTGTTCTGCAAAACTTAGGTTGAGAACTTAGGTACTAGAGTAGGTTAACTTTTACAGAAATGCTTGTGTAAATTTATTTTGTGGTGTCACTTTATTAAGCCTTGATGTATACTGCATGAATTTTCTCAGTGTAATTTCTATTTCTTTTTAGGCCCTATCAACAGAATCAGTAGAAAAACTTCCGGTTTTTAACAAATCTGCTTCCAAACATTACCAAACAACTTCAGAGGCAGATGACTGGTGCATCCCAAGTAAAGGCCCAAAGCAGACTGCAGCTCTCTGAAGGGAAGTGGATATCAAAGGCATCCAAGGGATCAAGCTGGCTTATCAGAGACTAGTGTTTGGAAGTACTCATCTACCTCCAAACAGGCAAATTCTTCTGTTGCAGGACTGGCAGAAGAGGAAGAAGCTAAAGATGTTATAGCCTAGGCTGTATACATTAAACGTAAAGTCTTGCTGTGAACTTCAGGCTGAAGAAGGGATATGTGTATAGAGGAAACTCAGGCTATTTTTGTTATGATCAAAGACTTTATGTGGTAGAGGTGTGCAATTTGAATCCTGTCTAATGCTTGAATTTTGAGACTGATAAAAAAAAATGTCAGTTAAGCTGGTATATATCTTTCTCCTAGAATAGATATCAGCAGCTCATTTTACAGAACTCCTCAGGTAGATGTACCTGTATTAAAAGCTGCATTTAGAACACCTGGAAAATATCCTTTCACCTTGCTATAAGACTGCCATGTTATAAACATCATCCAAATAGATCCTGACTGGGAAGGAGGGAGGGAGCCCTGGTAAGAAAGTGTTTTCCACATGTAAGGAAGTCATGTCTTAACAAAAGAAGCAATCCGATATTCCAGTAATCATTCTTAAGTGATGCCTTGCTCTGAGTTACACTTCATTTTGTGTTTCTTCAAGCTGTTGATGGAAAAGCTAGTGAAGCAAGACTCCTGTGCATAAGGTAACGAAGAAGAGAGATTTCAATGAAGTAACTTGGTATTAACAGTCATGAGGCTGACTTACATCTTGCCTATATCTCAGTGCTCAGGGAAGTATGTGCCAAGCAAGTTAGGATTTTCCAGGAACTGAAGTCAGATATGCAAGTTGAAATGAAAGGTTTTGATGCTGTGTTATATGGGCGTGACATGGGAAACAACATATTTAAAATGTTATCCTGTGATTCTTTTTTGTCAGTCTGTAAGATAACCAGTGGGTTCAGTGCACTAAACCAAAATTTGTCTATTACCATCTTTGTCAACTATGTATTGGACCACACTGTCTAAAAATATATGGGGATTTGACACCTTAAGAGCTGTGATGGGCACTGAAATCTGTTAGGTTTTTAGGAAGAGTGGTGTTGGAGTAGAATGTTCTGAGAACTGTCCTTTGTAGTGAAAGGTCTTAGGAAATGAGACTGAAAATATCAACTGCATCGATAAAAATCTTCATAAAAGTTATGTACAACAGAAGGGGAATTGCCACAGGAGGAGTGCTAGTGGGAGAGAGCTGTTGAGAAAATGGTCAATTAAGTAAGCTGCTACCTTTCCCATCTTTGTGGATATTTTCCCCCTCCTCATAAGTATAGTAATGGAATTTACTCAAGGTAATGGAAATTTCTCAACTGGGCAGTCAACAAGGTTCATTAGGGGTGTATAATGTTACTTGAATTGTTATTAACTAACCAGCATCATTATCTTAAGTGTAAATGATTCTTGGAAGGAAGATGCAAATACAGTATTTAAAGCATTCTGCTCAGTCACTGACAGTTTTCTAAAGCAGATCTGCATTTATTGGGCAGAAATCTACTCCGCGCTCTACTGTGAATAGCAAATGCTTTTTAAATAGCAGTAAGAGAAAGCTAGATCTACCTTCCATGTTCTAAAAGCTTTTTGGGGGTAGATTTCTCAGTGGAAAATAAAGTAGTATTCTGTTCATTTATTTCAAATAGGCAGTTTAGAAGTAATGGTGATAATTACTGAGCATATTGACTTAAATACTGCATTGAGGCAACTCTTACCCCAGTGAATAAGCTGCAATCACCAAAGGTCACCATTTCAGGAATATTTTCACTCACTCAGTGAATGAAATAGATAACAAAACTGAAATATCTTTGTCTAGAAAATACAGGTGTGAAAAACTGCTTTCACTGCCATAATATACTTGAATACTCTGACCTTGTATTGAATATAAGGTCACAAAATATGTCTAGATAGTTACTTTTAAGTAAACATAATACCTCTTTGCACTCAGTAATGCTCGAATGTGATTTATGATCTTGTGATAGACTGTAGATCTGTAACATAACTTCAGCTACTGCAGCTTGAAGCTGTAATGTCTATTTTTAAAAGCATCTGAAGCATGTGAGTGCTGTAAAAATGTCTGTAATAGTGCTTGCAAATAGGAGCTTTCTGGATAAGTATAATCTCGAAGTTGTATATGCAGAACATACAATGAAAACAGATGTGTGTAGCATTTAAGGAAACCTTATGGAGTCTCCTTTAGTATTAAAAACTTGTTAAGGGCTATCTGCCTAGATAACACTTTATCTTTTTCAGCCTTTACTGAATTTTTATTTCTGGAAATAGAGCTAGTTTTAAACCTTCTACATGTTTGTTGATACTAAAATTTTGTAATAAAATCTTTCTAATGATTGTCTACTATTTTTATTTCTGTTAAAGTATACTGCAAGTGTAGGCCAATGTGGAGTTTCAAGAGACATCAGACATGCCATATGTGATGTAGCTTAAGATTGTAAAGAAACTTGCAGTTAAAACAGCTTTTTAAGCTTCAGTTTTGTTACCGTGAAAACTTCTTCTCGTTTGCTGACACAAGTTACTGTGTACCATGCCTGCTCTAGCATTAAATGAGAAGGTGGTGGCCCTGCATGTGGCAGGGGGGTTGGAGATTCATGATCCTTGAGGTCCATTCCAACCCTGGCCGTTCTGTGATTCTGTGAATTAAGGAATTCTTTTCAATGTGATCATATTGATCTGTTTCAATTTACTTGCATTTGATTTTTAACTCCTGATGCTTGTCTTGCCTGATGTGACTCTTTTTTTGTAATCAGTTATTACAGACTTAATTACTAATGTCTTGCCTACAAAAATTCATCCTGCCTCTGCAGATTCCTAGCTGCAGAATAGGGGTATGCAAGTAATCTTGAAGTCTTAATAGAGGAAAAAATAAGAAACAAGCAACTTGCACAAGATAAATCAGTGACAGTCTCAAAAGGAGTGGTTTCAAAAGCCAAATGGGTAAGTGACAGACTTGTCTGTTATGCCCAACACCACTGCTGCCCAGCAGTTGTGGGCAAAAATCAAACTATTTCACTGCCAAATGAAGGTTCCTGAAAACTGCACTTACGTAAAGGCTTCCCACTGAAAATCTAGGTGACTATCTCTTCCCTTGCACAAAACATATGCTGTATAGTTCTGGCCAACTGGATTTTAAGGGCTGGTTTAGAATGGAACTATGGTTATTGGACAAAGCAGTCTGCTGCAACTACACAGTCCTGTGCAACTGGTTCTTTCACTGATCTGTGTTTTCCCAACAATATACTGCTTTTGCCTGAATTTTAGTAAAATGGCCTAACTGTTAGGGTGTGTGCTATGCAGCTGTGAGCTGGGCAAGCTGCAGCTGTGGGCAGCCTGCAACAAGCCAGACTCTAGCAATAATGCATGATCTCCCTCATGCTGTTCTCAGGCAATCTGTTTCATCCAAGTTCTGCTGTCTAGAAGGCTCCAGAAGTTGGAATTTTTTTTCTTCCTACACATAAGCTTATTGAGTGCAAGAGGCCATGCACCCAACTCCTGACTCAGCAAACCCTGGCGGTACTGTGATCGGCTTGCTTTCAACATGTCAGAGGTGCAATGAAATTGCCAAGTTTAGTCATGGCTGAATTACATTCTGGTTTCACAGAAGATAAGCAGATGTTGCACTTCCCAGCCCTTTACCTTTGATCTGGACTTTACAAAGGTTCCTGAAGTCAACAGAAATAACACCAAAACATCCAGTGTTTTCTGTTCCAGGTTGCTAGATAAAATGCTTAACACTGATTCTGTTGCTAGTGCCTTGGGCACCCCTCCAATTTAATTTCTCTGTTGCCTGATAAGGAGTTGTTAATTATCATTTCTTTCCTATCACTTCACCAAGCTCTCAAATACACCAGACTTTGCCCTCAGTGTGTGGTAATGTCCCTTCCATAGCTTTATTATGAAATAGGCCTTGATATCCTAGATAAGGAGCACTACTGGACTCGAAAAACAACTTGTTCTCCATGTAGTGGTGCTGATGATCTGAGTAATCAGGTTATAACCCCAATAACTCTCTGCCATTAAGTCCTTTTTGGTAAACAGAATGTAGAGACTGGCATTTGTCATTTCTTGGCTCAGCTAATTGGTGGGGGCACTGGAGAGTCATTGCAGTGCGAAGTGGAAGGGACTTTTCTGTTGATGTCTGATTTTGCCCTTCCAAGAAGTTGTCAACACAATTCAAATTCCTGTATCCCAATTCTGTATTATAGGAATAAAAGGGGCGCTGTGCTGGCATGCATGTTCAGGACAGAATGATATTATGCAGCACCTGGTCAGATGCTGCTCCTCCTTTCATTCAACAGACAGAGAACAGGGCATCTCTCCATTCACCTTACAGGAAGGAAGGGCAGAAAATTCTTGCAGGGAGTCTGAATTCTTTTTTGCCATCTCAAACATCAGATGGAGCAACAAAAGACTGGAACACTATCCTGACTTTGGAATATTCTCAAGCTCCTTCGTGTCATTTTTTTATACCAGTACAAAAATATGCATAAGTTAACAAAGCTGCTCCTCACCCCATTTTCTCTATATTCCTTAGGAATAAACAACTAATCAGGGTGCAGTGAATTGCCCCCTGCGGAATTAGCACAGATTTACATGTCCCTCCTCTACTTCATGCAGGAAGAGGCAAGAGAGGAAAGTACTGATTTCATTTCCTGCTGTGTGAGAAGTAACACCCCAAATAATGAACCTCCCACTGCCTTGCGGGAGTCGTGTCATTGAAAACCCAGGCAGACCTGTGACTCTGGGAAATACAGTAAGAGGAGTGATCACCATTGCAGGCTGCAGTGCATCCTCATGGAGCTGAGAGGGACTCTGCAGTTTAAGACTGCAGGAAGGGACCTCTAGGGATCATCTACTCCAAAACCCTGCTAAAGCAGGTTCCCTACAGTAAGTTATGCAGGAAAGTGTCCAGACAGGACTTGAGTATCTCCAGAGAAGGAGACTCCACAACATCTGGGCAGCCTGTACCACTGCTCTGTCACTCTGAACAGTAGAAAAGTTCTTCTTTTTTTTTTTTTGTAGTAACTTCCTGTCTCTTGGGATTTTTTCCATTGCCTTGTTCTGTTGCTGGGCACCACTGAAAAAAGTCTGGCCCCATCCACTTGACTCCTGCACTGTACATACTTACAAACAATGATGAGATCTCAGTCTTCTCTTATCCAAGTCCTGGGTCTCTCAGCCTTTCTTCATGTATGAGATGCTCCAAGCCCCTTTTGTTTACAGGTTGAGCCTTCTGTGCTCAAAGCCGAGAGCTTTGGCAGAAGATTCAGCACACCAAGTACAGTGTGTTATCGCAGCCCTACATAAGTACGCATGTACATATGAGGGAGTTGACTAAGCTCCCATTCTGGTGACCAGAGCTGATATTTCCTGAGGACCTCAGAAAGCTCTCATCCTAAAGTAGATACCTATTAGCCAGCTGAATAGTTCTCTCATCTTCAGACAACTCAATTACTGTGATGGGATCCTTGGTGCCCAGGGCACATGCAGGCACCTATTCTCAGATGACTTCAGCTGTGAGCTGACTCCCAGCCCATTTATTTGCCTAAAAATAGAAACCAGTGCCATGCAAGATTTGGTGCATTCCACTTGTCTCCCATCTGTTGCACTAGAAGAAGAGAGATCTGTCCCAGGTCCTTTGTCAG